TTATTTTAATGAAAACTTTTATTTTTATTTAGGTCACTCAGAAAAAAACTACGGTATTCATTCGTTTCATTTTTAACTAAAATGTTTTCTTTTCCATATTCAATATTATTAAAAAGACAAAAATATAGTATTTATTGTACCTGAAAGCTTTTACTTTTAATATCATTTAATCGAAAATGCATTTAAATGTATGTTCGAAAGTTTGAAAGTTTGAAGTATTTATGTATTTATTTTCATTTTAACACTTAGAAAATTTAACTCTAATTATTGGCAAATCTAAGGCTGCTACATAAAAATGTGTAATGTATTAAAACGTAGTTAATCAAAAGTTTTTTATTGTATATTCGTGAATTAATTTAGTTTTTGACTTTCAAATTAGTGGTTTAGGTCCATAATTGGACTAGTATTTTTCTGTATATTTTGAACTAGTATGAGACTGATGTATTTCTGACCGAAATCTGACAATTTCCATCTCGTAGGACATTCCCCTGTTAAAAATACCAGTTTATTACAGGGAAAATGGCTGAGTAGTTGGGCAATCGGTTTATACTAGTTGTGAGGTAGTTTACAACTAGTACATTTGACTACAGGGTAAGTATGGGATATTTCATANAATTTCAATTGTCAAATTTTAAACACTAATTACTACTTTTAAAAAATTGAAAAAATGGACTGAAATGTGCAAAGTTAACGAATTTAATTTATTTTAATGAAAACTTTTATTTTTATTTAGGTCACTCAGAAAAAAACTACGGTATTCATTCGTTTCATTTTTAACTAAAATGTTTTCTTTTCCATATTCAATATTATTAAAAAGACAAAAATATAGTATTTATTGTACCTGAAAGCTTTTACTTTTAATATCATTTAATCGAAAATGCATTTAAATGTATGTTCGAAAGTTTGAAAGTTTGAAGTATTTATGTATTTATTTTCATTTTAACACTTAGAAAATTTAACTCTAATTATTGGCAAATCTAAGGCTGCTACATAAAAATGTGTAATGTATTAAAACGTAGTTAATCAAAAGTTTTTTATTGTATATTCGTGAATTAATTTAGTTTTTGACTTTCAAATTAGTGGTTTAGGTCCATAATTGGACTAGTATTTTTCTGTATATTTTGAACTAGTATGAGACTGATGTATTTCTGACCGAAATCTGACAATTTCCATCTCGTAGGACATTCCCCTGTTAAAAATACCAGTTTATTACAGGGAAAATGGCTGAGTAGTTGGGCAATCGGTTTATACTAGTTGTGAGGTAGTTTACAACTAGTACATTTGACTACAGGGTAAGTATGGGATATTTCATACCCTTTCGTAGATTTTTCAACCCATCGGGCGGTGGTTGGTTTATGTCTTTGCTAGGATTAGAACGTAGCGAAAAGCTTTTTATTAATAACAGTCATGGATAAAATAAAGAACGTGCAAAATATTTGATTGAGAATTGCTAAAAGGGTGCTTTCTAGCAAGCAGCTAAAAGCTTTCTTTTCACCCCTAAATGCATTCGTGGTGAGAATATCTGCTTTAAGAACTAATATTGTACTAATTAATAACTCAGCTTTTAAATATACATACATACGTGTGTACATTAGACCGTACCAGAACCATGAAAAAAAAACAGTTCGTCGTACACTTTCGAATATAAAGTATATTTTCAAGGAAATTTGGAAAAAAATTGTTAGCCAAAGCGTGTAGTAGCCAAACGTAGAGGTCAGCTTTTTACATATTTCTTCATACCGTCGGCAATTGCAATCAGATCTTTTCTAGAGGAAACATTTATTTGTTGTTCCAAATTTCATGGAGCTCAAGTTCGCCACTCTAGTAGTTACCCACCAGAACTGGTTCCCACCACCTTAATGTCAGTAAATTAAACAAACTACGACTTAAATGAAGGCAAACAAAGTATGTCCGGAAAAAAGCCTATAGCACAAATCGGACCCAGGTTCGAGGAGAAAAGGTCCACAGATGCCATGGCGAGGAAGAAATCGAAGGCTTGGATCATAGTGTCTGTCACTGAACTAACCTATGGGGTGCTAGAAGACGCTTATTTTTTCACATTTTTTCCAGAATTTTCAACCGAATAAATTTTGAAAAGCAGAATTTACTACCGCTTCCCAATCCATGTCTTCCGCACTTTCATCAAAAATTTTACTCGTCGATAAATTTCGAGTGGTATAAATAAGTAGAACCTGGCATAGTTAAAATTGAACTTTTTTTACATCGATCCACTGAACTTTTACTTTTTGAACAGCAATTTTTTCATTCATTAGTTGAACATAAATATGAACATATGTATGTATGTAGCTCCTTTAAATTGATTTGATTGACACGATTTTGTTGCACCGAATATGGGACAAATACGGGGCATTTAAACAAATGCAGAACCAAGACGAATTTATACAAGGTGGTCGCAACAATACAACAGCGACAATGCCATGTAATTTGTTCTTGGTTTTCGTGGGCGTGCTGTCAAAAAATCAAATCAGTGTATGAATTCGCCTTGTGCATAATATTTTACATCCCCTATAAAATAAGTAACTTACCAGTCGTTTCATTTAAATCAAAATCAAAAACTAAATCATCATGAATTTCTTTATTATTCCTCACAATATATGTGTTTACTTATAATAATTTATTTTATGCCTTTCAAACATAAAATTTTTTAAACGTTATTTCGTTGTCTTAAAATAAATTGATGTTGTTTGTTGATATATAAAAATACATATGTATATGTATAGTTTCCTTTTGCATACGTATATTTATGCAATTTGCTTTTTATATACAAATATTACTTTGGTTTTTACATTTAAAAATATAATATTGAATAATAAATAATGTTATATGTGAATGTATTTAAACGCGTACTTTATTTCTTTAAAAGTATTGCGACTATTTTGAAGTACATCAGTTTTCAATTAAGTAATTTTTTATGTCAAATGTGACTAATAAACATAAATTACTTTTGACTATTCAGAAGAAATTATTCTACTTACAAATGAAACAAAGCATTAAAGATAACTCAAAGGAATTAATAAACTGAAAAATACTTATGAAATTTTAATTTTATAATTGCCGTCTTATTCTAAATTTAGTATTGGAAGTCCATACACTTTTCATAACTTGTTTTACAAGTTTGTTATGTAAATTTTTTTTTGCCGAATTTCCACTAAGCATTAAAATGAAAAAAAAAAACGTATGCTATGTGGAAACAGCCATAATGACTATTTTTATGACGGTAATGACATGGGTATTTTTTACAGCCCAACGTTGTCATTAAACATTGAGTCATTTAATGCCTGGTGGAAATTTCGCATTATGCACAAAAATGTGGTTTTTACTACATGTGAATTATTTTTTTGGGCATTAGTTTAAAGTTTTCTGTAGTAGTCTTAAGAAGCAATATTAATTTCAAACTCATTGCGATTACCAAAATTTAAGCTAATTATAGGTGTTTAAAGTACAAATTAGTTTTAGACAAAAATTACAATTAGAAAAACAAAAACTAAAATTTTTACTTCTCAGGTTAATATTTTCATTCGTTCAATAAAAAAAAAAGAATTTTGATTTCGCCAAAAATTATTTTCCAACTTAATTCTGAAATAATTTTTGAGATCACAAGTTTTTTAATAATATCTTATTCATCTAAATCTTCATACTGAAGCATAGCATTAAAGCTTAGAAATTAAAAAAGGCATCCAAAGTTGGTTACGTGTAAGAGCTTTCCGAAGTTTCTGCTCGGTGAAAGTTAGAAATAGCTTTCATAGGATATAAATTTATGTTTTAGATTTAATTTGTTTAATACAAATAATATTGGGACGTTTCCATTTCATCCAAATTTGTTACAATGCGTAATTAAAAGTTAGCATTTCAAATAGAAACTCACGCGTCATATATTTAGAAGTGGTTCCACTGCCACTCATAATTTTATTTTTTTTAAGTGAAAGCCGCCATTAATTACTAGCAGACGTTAAGCATAAGCTCTTCTAAGTGATACATTTTTATATTTCACTCGATCCTAAATTTTTTATTAAATATCCTCCATATAGTCCAAAATTATAATCTGTAGTTGTCAAAAGGTATGGTTCACTCTTCAACTTAAGTTTCTTTTGAATCTGTGGTAGGCATCAGCTTGTCCGCGGGCAAAGCTCCCTCAAGCTTTCTATACTACATGTATGCAAAACTTGAAAGAGCTTTGCCCGCGGACAGGCCGGTGCCCACCACCGGTTTAAAATCTATACGAAGCACTCAAGCAAGCTTTTAAGCGTTTAAGTGTAGTTAAGTAGATTTTTTTCGCCAGTCAGTGCGTATTTTTATATATTTATCACTCTAATCGAACTCCGATTTTTTTCTTATGATTCTTCGCTTTCAAAAAAAGAATTTACGCAAATTTTGTACAAACCTAATTTCTGAACTATTTTTTACAAAATTATAGAAAATAATACCTCCAAGAAAATGTGACGACTGAAACACAGCTTTTTTAAGCTTTCTATAATTTTTGCACATATCTTGCGGTAGAAGCTTTCCATTGATTTTATATCGGCGCTGGGCAGACAGAGCTTTTGCTTGGCACTCGCCTATAAAAATATATAGAAATCTTAAAAGGGCTTTCCCCGCGGGCAAGGCGGAGCCCGTCACCGTTTTTTATGGGCGTGCACAGAGTAAAAGCTCTCTCTGATAGCGACCGCTATACATACGCGCTCAGGTCGAAAACTTTCTCAAAAAATTCATTCACTGCACTTTTTTAAGTTAAAGCTTTCTGTCTGAAAACTTTGAACTTTGAAAAATTGATAAGCGAAAGCTCTGACGAACTTAAAGCTTAACTTTTTCTATCATTACCATTCTATTACCTACTTTACAAAGCCGGTTTTTATACATATTGGACGGATTCGTTGCTTTTTTTTTTTGCTAAGAACATAACTCTTGATTGTGGTCATTTGGGGTGATCACTCTTCTAAAATAAAATCCATATTCACTTCAAGTTTCAGTTCCTGCACCTACTACATGGTCGTCTCAGAGTCAGGTGGGGTATGATAGTTGAGGTTATAGGCCGGTGGTCCACTATTTAAGAACGCCATCGATCTTATGCTCTCTCTCGATGCGGTACGCTTGCCGAAGGGAATATTCTGCGGCTGCGTGCTGATAAAGTTCGGCGAAGGCAAGGGCGGCATGTGCTGCTGCTGAGCTGCGGCGTGCGGATGCTGATGCAGCGGATTTGTCTGATACAACGGTGGCGTGGCGGGTGCGACATGTGGCGGCAAAGGTGGTAAAGTCGGCAAAAGCTGAGCCTGCTGCTGTTGCTGCTGCTGTTGTTGTTGCGCCTGCTGCGCACCTGACTGCGCCTGTGCAGCGCCAGTCAAGCCGGCGAAAACATTCTCTGTTGCGCCCGAGTTGGAGATGTACGAGGAAAGCGGGCGCGTGCCATGAAAATTGGAGTAACTCGAACGCACCGAAGGGGGCCGATTGTTGTACAACTCGTCTGTGTGTTCAACATCGTTCAGGTTCGTAGTCGAATGCTGATAGGTGGGATTGAAGTGGCCCGCCAGTGTGGGCGTTAATGTCGGCGTCGGTGGTAGCTCATCGCCCCCCATGGGCGACTGTGACGTCGTTTGCCACGCTTGCTGAAACAGACCCGTTTGCGCATTGGTGTTATAGTAAATCGGATCAGGTGGTATATTCTTGCGGAAGCTGTGATAGTGATTGTTGTTTGTCTTTGTGAGACTGCCGCCGCCTATCAAAATGTTGGTCATTGTAGCGCTACTATCAGGGCTTGCCACCACTGTGCTGCCGCCAACACTCGTATTATTTATGATCTCCTGATTCAGTGTTTGCAAATTTGAGGCAGTCAACGGTGCAGGTATCTCTTTGTGATGGAAAGAGCCCAAATGCTGCTTGGCGGCTTGCACGTGATGCCCGCCGCCGCTATGATGATTATGATGATGATGCTGTTGTTGCTGCTGCTGCAATTGCAGTTGTTGCTGATCGAGCAGTTTAGTGACGGGGTTCTGTTGATATTTGCGGCGCGAACTGCGTGTGCTGTTACGTGGATGTGTGCCGCCACCGCTGCTGCTGCTGCCATGCGTGCCGCCGGCGCCTTCACCGCGATCGCGGCCATGATGACTGCGGCGGCTGGTGGTTGATTGGCGGCTATTGGTGCCGCGCGCCATCACCGAACGTCGTTTGACGCGCCGCGGCGTCATCGGCTTCGGCGACAACTCTCCGCCATCATCGCGGCCGTGCAGGTGATCGTCGTAGTCGAGTATGGTGTCAGCGCGGCTGCGAATCGTATCAATGCTGGGGCCAAATTCGATGGAGTAGAGAGACTGGCGATGTTTGGACTTCTTGTTAACATGCCTTACTGTGGGTGTTGAGAGAGGAGAGCAAAAAGTAGAAGAGAATAGTGAATTAATATTTGTTGCTGGATGTTTTTTTTTTTAATGTTTAATGAGTCATGCTATCCACATATAAATATGTATGTATTGATGTTTTAAGTTTTTGAGAGTTGCACAAAATTACCTGGTGGTTAGTTGATAAGGTTTGGGTTACTTTAGATTTTTGTTTAATTTCACGTTGTAATTACAAGTTAGTTAAGCAAAATACACCAAAATTCAATTAAAAAATAATCATAAAATATGGATCCCAAAATGTAGGTTTGTTAGCATAGCGTCTGATAAATAAAATAGGAGTCGTGTGTATGTAAAAAGAGAGTGGTCTAGTATAGAAACCATTACCACTTTAAAATAAATAAATAAAACTTACTAATCCTTCATTAATTCTCTGCCTCAAGCCACAAGCAGCAGTATCTAACTTTTGCTACCCATTACGGGTGCAACCTTGAGTAAGAAGTTCTATAAGTATGTGCAAGGCAACTATTTGACTAAATGCAATTTTAAGCTGCTCCTAGGTGAGATCTAGAAAGACCTTTAGAATAGTTGAAAGCTTTGCTACTTGCAATTAAACTTGTTGTACGTACGCATAGAAAGTGCCCGCGAAGTATGCGTGGCAAGCTTTTCACAGCTTTTTGTGTATTCCATATAAATATGAAAGCTCTCTCTTGCAAAAACTCTCCTAGAATTAGAGTTTTCATAACACATGGTAATCTGACGAGGTTCGAGAGACTATTGTATCCAAATAAGTCCTTTAGTTTTTTACAATATGCCGATTTATCTGTTTCCTAAACAATAGTGAATTCTACAAGCGCAAATACTTATGTACATATTCCCGAATGCTTATTAGGAGAGAGGACAACGGTTTTTAAACTTTTAGCTCGCATAAGCTGGCCCACTCCATCATCGCCCATTCAGTGTGTGCAGTGCCTCATCAAATGGATGCTAATAAGACAATGTCCAGTTAATATCCCCAGAAACGAAGAGAGTAGCGATTTTGTTAGCTTCAATGGTGACATAGTCCTACCAAGAGATTCCGCTGATGTTGGAGCAGAAAATAAGAGCTAGAGAACTGAAAAGGTCAGGTATCCATTCTTTAAGAATGCCCCAATTTCTAGCACTGATATCATGGGTTAAATAGTGAAACAAAATCTGATGCGCGAAGAGAATATCTGTACTGCCATCACACAGCAGTAAGCGCAGGCGCGTCTAGGTACCCAGATCAGTTTATAAGTCTTTTATAAGGCCTGTCCTGATTTAAGTCCTTAAATGTTTTTGAAAAGGATTCTGCGGAAGATATATGGTCCTTTGCGGACTTGAAACAACAATAACCTAAGACGGCGCAACGTTGGTGGGCTTGGCTTACTTGGTGTTTCTAATTCCTTGGTGTTCCAATCAGCCAAAGAATCAAAATTTGACATAATTTATTGACCTTGGCTAAAATCGCTTAAGGAAAATGGCAGTGAAGAAAAAGGAGTTCTTCCTTAAGCAGTATGATTGTCGATATGTAGTAGTCAATTCCAAGCAAGTTAAACTAAATCATTTTAATACCTTCTGACGTTGGTTGATTCTTCCGACAGGGTGAGCAGATAATATAGTTCGGCACGAATTTTGACAATAAAGATGATTCAATGCCAAATCCGCTTTAACTTCAAACCAAATTTGACAAGGAATGTCGGAAATTCATTCCAAAATTCGGTACCTTTTAATATCGATAATCGGCATCGGCCTTGTAATACCGTTTCATAACTTATACAAGGAACGTCCTAAATCGCGGAAATATTGCTCTATCTATAAAATATTAAAACTGCCCAAGGCGAAGGCTCCATTTTACTAGCATGCGACAAGCTAACATTGCCTTTCAGGCTGAAGTGCCCTCCATTCACATACATACATACTATGTCTGAGATAAAATCTAGAAAGTGTGGAAAGTAACAAACACATCTATGTACACTCCGACAGCTGAGCGGCGCTCTTCTCACTGAAAGCACACGAGCTCGACTCAAAGCTGCGATTTCTGCTTTATTGCGGTTTAGTCTATAAATCATAAAGGCGCCTCTCTAAAGGAAGAAAATATCCAAGAAATAAACTAAAAACCAAACCCCTCGACATAAGCTGTTTTTTTTATAATTTACAAATCCCAAACTCCATCTGAGATTTCGAAAACTTCAAAAGTGTTCCAGGGCAAAAGCTAAGCTTACACTATGTACTTGTATGTTTTTCCACGTACTATAAACATAATCAAAAAACCACAGTAAACTTTAATTACGGTATACTTTGAAAAAAGGAAAACATTTATTTGAAACATCATTTCTTACTAGTTCTTCTGATTTATGTATGTAAGTTTATTCATTTGTTTGTTGGTATGTATTTATGTACTTTTAATACTCAGTTTATTTCAAATAATTTCTTTTTACTTATTTCTTAAATTTTAAACTCGAACTTCTGCAGTCATCCTGCTTTGAGTTTTACAACAACATTTAATAGTAAGGGTAAGTTCAGTTTTTTTTTTTTGTTTTTCAGTTTACGTTTAGCAATTTAAAATTCTTTTAACTAGTTGAGTGTGTATGTGTGTGTCTTTTGGTAAGCTTAAATATAAAAATTTATCGCCTATTTCGGTTTTAAGTTAATTTTGGTTGTGTACAAGACTGCTTTCATTTCTATTTTTGCTGTTTAGTAGTTTTTTTTTTTTGAATTTATTTTGTTTATACATTTAACTTTGTGTTTTTTGCAATTATTTTAGTTTTGACAGTTATTTAGGAATACCACTCACAGTAGGGTTACCAAGTGATACATAGTTGCTAAATTAAACGATTTACAGTGTGTCAGATTGGGAGTGTGCGTGCTGAAATTGCGCACCAATAAATGTTTGCAGTTTGCCGATTGTTTTGAAAGATTTGTAGTTGTTCAAAACAGTTTATTAGCTAATAATTTTTCAAAGTCTGATTTTAATTTAATTTTTTTCTTAAATTATTTTCAGTGTATATATTTAATTTCTCTTAATTTTACTTATTTTCGCATTTCTTTTTTTTACTTGCGTGCAATTTCAGTTATTGTTATGCAAAAAGGCAACTACAACTTATTAATATGTATACTTTTAATCAAAAATTCCAATCTCTGTTAAATTTAACTTAAAAATATTTTTTATTTTTGCTTTTTTATTTTTATATTTTGTAAATATAAAATTTTGATTCTCATTTATTACACTTTAGGCTTCTTTCTTACATAGCGCATTAGGCTGTATTCACACTTGGCTTAAGCGGTACTTTCTTTCAATGAATCTATTTTTTTTACTCCTTTTACTTTACGAAAGCTTTACTCCACGAATTCTTTTTTAAAAATTTTGGGTTTTCTTCTTAGTTTACCAAGTGTGCACCTAGCATAAGTGGGCAAAACTAACTAGCCGCTTTCAAATTCTACTACATACTTCTATGCAAAATATTTGTAACTTTTTTCATCGTTTCGTCTTTCTATAACTTTACTACCTAAATATTATGTTGCTTTCATTTTCGTCAATATTTGTTTTGTTTTTTTTTTCTATATACTCCAACTTTCGTATCTATATCACAGTTGAAATTAAAAGAACATCGTTTAGTTTTTTCCTGTCTTTCTTTTTGTTATTCGTTCAGAAAAGTTTAATAAAAAATAAATTTCTACTCGCTATCTCGCTTGCTCTACTCGTAAATAGAAAGACAATCGAATGAGAGGGCTCGGCATATTTTTTGATAATTTCTTGACTTATTTATACAATTACTTCTTTAAATAGTACATACACACAAGTCTACATACGCTGCGACTACAAGGCAATCTCTATTATTATTCCAGTTGCTATATAACTACATACACCACTGTCCTCCTTAGTAGTTTCACAAAAAGGCGAGTGCTTTCAATGAATCGAATTTTTTGCTCGTATTTAAAAATAAAAATAACTAATAAAAAATTTTTACTTAAAAAAAAACAATATGGCCTTTCAATTTTTATTAAATTTTTATAGAAATATCGCTTTGCAAAACTAAGTTTCAAAATGGCAGCTCCGTGTTTTCAGTGTTTAAGTTTTTTTTTTTTAATTTCAAAGTGAGATCGAAATTTATTACCACTGTAGGACCGAAGATCATATGAGGAATTATTTGCATATATATTTTAAAATAGATCGAAATTATGTCAAGAATGAGGTTCAATTGAAAATTTTCATTCGAACCAAATTTTTTTTTATTTTTTAAGTGTAAATTTTATGATAAATTACTGAAACTTAAACATGGTCCTTATAATATCAAAACAATGGGGCACTCCTTGATTATTTTTAACGTACAAAATAAAGACATGCACGAACATTTAATACCAAAAAAAAATTTAGGGATCGCAACCAGTTTTTGAAAAATATTAATTTTTTAAATCGCAAAAATTTTTTAAAATTTTTACTTTCGCCAACTATAACCCAGCAAATTTTTTAATTTGTATGAATAAATTGAAATAATATGTCAAATTTATAAAGTATCAAGTAAAAATTGTGTCGAATGTTTGCGATTTAAAAAAAATATATATATATAGTTTTCTCAAACCCTCGTTACGACTCCAAATATTTAATTATTATTTTCTTTTTAATTTCGAAATTTTGTATGGATGTCTTTATTTTGTACGTAGAAGAAAAAATGGGTGCCCCATAGAAAATTTATATGTAGATATTTTTAGGGACCACCATCTATAAGGATAGGTAGATTCACTAACCATAGCCAACATAATTTTTACAGGACAAATTTAAAAATTTATGCAAAAAAAAATAAAAAATTTTATATTATCGTATCCGGTACAACCAAGCTTAGGTGATTGTAATAGAATTTCAATATCTTTTGGACTGAGCTTTCATTTAGCTACTTCAAAATATTCCCTGCCCTTTGTTTTATGCTATAAGAGTTCAAACAAGAGCTAATTGAATGGATCTGATAATTGCATTTCGTCTAATGCTTTTTAAAGCAAGACCTTAGCTGACCGATCGTCTTCATATCGTTTTCCAAAAGGTATTGTAGGGTGGAAGCTCCCAAAAATTCATGATATTGACTGCCTAAATGTTGGAGTTATATGTATCACAAAAGTTCACGTCTGAACAATCAGCTAAATACATATATGGGAGCTATAACTTATTGTGGGCCGATCTTGATGACTTTCATCAGACGGACATGGCTATATCTAATCAGCTTCGAATCATTTCGATGCACAATTTTATGGTCAGCGTTTCATGTTCATGAAAGCTATTCAAAATTAAAAATAAATTGCAAAGTTTTAGTTGTTATTAATATTTTCTTCTTTCCTTCTTTCATTGTCATGTTGGTTCCTAACCTTTTCACTGTACCCGAACGCGCGTGTGTATCTGTATCTTTGTCTTTATCTTTATGTTTATCTTTATTATTATGTTTATCGTTTTCTTTATGTTGAGGTTTATCCTTAGGTTCATCTTTGTCCATATATTTACATGTTTATTTTTATCTTTATATCTCCACCTTAGTCTTTAATTTTAATTGTACCTTTAATTTCTTTATAATTTTTTATCTTTTTTTCTATGTCTTTAATATTATCTTTATCGTTATCGTTCCCTTGATATTGATGCGCCTGTTTGTCATTATCTCTTCATTGTTGTTATCTTGATCTCTTTATAAAATTTTATGTTTATCGTTTTTTTGTCTGAACCTGCATATTATATCTGTTTCTTTAGATAACTGTATTTTTATTTTATTTTATTACTTTTTCTTTTGGTTCCATATCTGTGTCTCTTTCTATGCCCGTACTTTAAGTTGTAAACATGTCTTTGTCCGTATTTTTTTTCCTTCTACTTATCACTTCGGTCCCAACGTTCTCATTTTTCTTTGCCTATATTTATTTTCCCTTTTCTCTTTAATTACCTTGATCTCACTTCACTCTCTTTCGCGATATTTTGCACTGATCTTTATTAATCTCATTCTCGATTTAACTCAATAAATCCCTCATGTGATTTGTTAATTGCCACGTACGCCCACCACCTCCGCTACCAACATATTCTCCTCTACGCCAGCGCTAGCAACATGCCGTCGCCCGATACATGTTGCCAGCACCGTCATATGCGCTCAAACCCTACTAATTTTGTGTTTAGCTAAGCTACTTATTAATCGTGTTTTGTGTATCCAGTTTTGTGAGATTTCTAACTCCAAATTCGTTCAAAACAAATCGAATACCCATACCAGTATTGTTATAAGAATTACAAGTTATTTTATGTTGTAGCAAAAAAAAAAAACAATATTATGTACAAGAATATTCATACATACATATAACTAAATAAGTATGTGTGTTCGTTAAATAATAATACATTGTATGTATATAGTATAATTTACATCATCAATTTACAATACAAACAAGTGTATAAGTATGTATACGTGTGTGTTGTAAGTATGTATTCGTATGCAGGTTAAGAACATAAATTCTAATACACAAACTAACTAACAACACCAAATATTTTGGAACATTTTTCATTTCCGTTTTTCTTTAACACATTTTTAGTACACAACATTGAATTTCAAATTTCTTCACTTGCATTCTTTGCAAACATTTACATGCCATTAAATTGATTAGCGTTTTCTTAATATTTAATTTTTCAAGGAATTCGCTTGACCTTTACATACATCTTTTAAGCCGTTTGCTGTGGCAAATTTATATTCACTTAGCAATATATGTATTGCAGCAACATCGCCCTCGTAGATAGTAGCAACAGCAACTTCAGCGCAAGCAACATTTAACGGCGCGACGGCGCCACGGTGACACGAAGTGGGCTGGCGCGCGTTAAATAAACGATTTAGTAGAGAGCTTGCATGTTTGAGAGCATGATTAAATTTTTCATGTTCGATTGAGAGGCCGCAGCTACGTGAGAGAGTGAGTTAGATAAAGAAGAAGCTTCAACAACCATTTAACCACCACTTTTCCGCAAATGAGAGCATTCAAATCAGCAATCGTAATCTATGAGTCTAAGAAATTAAAATTAATGAAATTAAAAGAAAATAGCAAGAAAATTTTAAACAAAACCAATGCAGCGGCATGGGCATGAATATAAATGAATGAAGTGAGTTTAAGCGCAATGAAAGTGGGTACAGATAAAACACAGAAATGAACTGACACCGCTTTGAATGGAATGATAGCTACTTCTTGGCGATTCTCGGTGACTTTGGAGAGGCTGTAAGTGCAATATATATGTAGGTAACGGTTTTGGAAAGTAAAAGTCCTTTGAGCACAACTTTTTCTTCACAAAGTACCACTTCTACGGCTTTTAGCTACAAATAGCTTTAAAATTTTTGCTTTCGATCACTACTCTACAAATCGGTCTAATAATCTCTTGCTTTTTGACCTTTTTTTTAAATTTCTTACCCGAGTGCATTTGTGCACTTTGTTATTCCTTGAGGAGCTTTCGTGCTACAGAAAGAGCTTTTGAAATTCCACCCTTTGTACAAAGGCGCTCACAACTCCTTTAAACCTATGTAAGCTCCTTATGGTTTTACTGAAGCGCTTAAAATTTGTCATGACCAATTTAAGACGACTAAAAACTCTTGAGGCTGTAATGAGCAGAGAGGGCTTTTAGCCTGTGCATGCTTATATAAAATAGATAGAAAGCTTAAAAAGTTCAGAATTTCATCACCGCTCTAAGGCGGACTCGATCAAAAACATAGACCGCGGGCAGAGCCTTTAAAGATTTCTGTTGATTTTACATGAGCATCAAAAGAGCAAAAGCTCTACAAGTTAGTCGCCGCTCTAAGAGCTTCGGAAAATCTGTATCTCCTACTTTTATTGCTTTCAACATCGTTTTATCGCAAAAAATGTCATGCGCTAATTATTTTTCTGACCTCATTACGCTCTCAGCCTATCGAGAAAGAATGCATCCATTGGCTTTTCTCAATCACTGTACATTTTACAAAGCGGTTTTGTCAACTATATTCCCGAATACTATGTATGCATATCCCTTCTCCGAAACTCTACCTCAATATCGTGTACGATCGCTGGTAGTTCGCAGCTTTTGTGCCTCCAATACTGTACTACTCACTTTCCCAGCCTCTGCCTATGCCAACTGATCACCACCAACAAACTGTCCACCTCCCTCACCTGCGCCACTACTACCAACACCATCAGCACCATTAACTCCACTCTCGACCACAAAATCGCGCTCATAGACCAAACTACCGCGTATCACGCCCTCACCACCAGACATCGAATTGCAATAGGATCGTGGACGCGCGCGTGCGGCGGCATCACGACGACCACTGCGCCTATTTACATGCGGCGCTGCTTCGGCATTGACTTGCGCCTGCTTCGACTGTGCTTCGCCTTTCGCATCGCGTCGCACGGAACCCGACGACGACGAGGCCAGGCGGTCATAGCTTTTGGCGCGCACAATGCTGAAGCCTGCGTCCACTATATAGCCAGGTGGCGCATCACGCACTTGATCGCAAAAGTTTGCTGACGTATTCACGTGATGCGTCGCCGGCTGCGCCGACTGCTGGTGGTGATAATTATGCGACGTCTGTTGTTGTTGGCGCTGACGACGCGCAATACGCGAAGCGACCGGTGAGCGCGGTACGTACTGTGTGGGCATGGCATATTTCTCGGTCACCTCAGGTGAGAGATCGGGGTAGGGCGCATGGCCGGAACGTGGCTGGAAAATGTGTGGACGTGGCGCAGGAGGTGGTGGAGGTGTAACCTCTGAGGGTGAAATGGGCGTGTCGAATGAATGTGGCGGAATGGTGGGTAATGGAATGTTTGTTGGGCGTGGCGGTTGTTTGGCGACTGGGCTCATGTGGTGATGATATTGCGCAGACATGGGCGACGACGTATGCGTGGGCACCGGTAGTGGCACTGGAATGGGCTTATTGTAGGCTGGATGGAATGGTAGGCCGTTTTGTTGGTAGAGAAAACGATTGGCAGGATTCATTAGTGGCTGTTGCTGTTGCTGCGCGCCTTGTGCAGCCTGTGACTGCAACAGCATTTGCTGTTGCTGTGCATGTGGCTGATAGTTGTAGGCGGGTTGTAGTACAGCGCCGCGCTCTAAAAGTATCTCTCCTTCTTGGAGAGCCGGTGGCGGTGGCGGTGGTGGTGGCGCCAACTGAGAAATGCTGCGCGTGAATTGCGGTAAAGCATTGTTGTTAATCGTATTTGGACTAGCATTGTTGTTGGGCGAAATCTGCGTGCCTCCAAATGAGTTCAACGACACATACGAGGGATTGTTATTCTGGCCGACGAAGAGTGCGCCTGGCGTTGGTTTCTGGAAGGGTACATAGGTAATACCGTCATCGGTTTTGAAATTCTGCAGCGAGAAATTGTCGTCCTCTAGACCCTCCTCCAAGTTGCGCGACAGGCGCTCGTTGGACATTTGCGTATACTTGATGTCTGGACGATGGATATTGGTCATGGAACCCCCAGCGCTGCCGCTGCCGCCGCCACCGACGCCGATGCCGACACCATTAGTGAGATTCGCCGCGCTGCCATTGTTGATGAAGCTGCTGTAGCTCGTCGACTTAGGCGGCTTGGGTTTAGCGTGAATGCGCGCGAAGTGACCGCCACCAACGCCGCTACCCATGCTACCGTTATTGTTATTTACATAGTTAGTATGGTTATTTAAGACATTGCTGTAATTGGTGTGGTTGTTGTTGTTGGCGGTGCTGCCACTATGGTTGCTATAATTATTGTTGATACTATTGCTGAGACTAAATTGGCTATTGCTAAGCGGACTGAGCGTGGCTTGCGACGAGGCGGCGGTCATGCCCCCGCCACCGCCACCGCCACGACCAAAACCGCCAGAGCTAGAGCCCACCACACCCGCACACATGCCATTACCACCACCACCCGTGCCCGTGTAGCCAAACCCACCACCACCATGGCCGCCACGCAAGCTCTGTGTCAAATTCAAATTGGAATTCTGCAGCGAAGCATACGAGAGCGACGATGTGGTGTTGTCGTGCGTTGAGGAGTTTGGTGTGCCAGCATTTTGTTGTTGCTGCTGCTGCTGTTGGTGCTGCTGATATGTCATACCATTCAAGAATTGCCGTCGATTGCTGTTCGTGTACAGCTGATCCGCTTTGGCAGTGCTGTCGTCATAGTAGTGCTGCCCGCCGCCACCGCCTAATGACGTCACGGTATGCGTTTGTGGTAGCGATTGTTGTCGCTGCAACATATCTACGGGGAGTATGGTGTTGCCCGTGGATGAGCCGATCTTATTGCTACTCTTCGGGCTGTAAAGAATGCGCGTCAGTGTACTCGTTTTGCTTGCGCTGAGCGAGTTGCAGTTGCCATCGCCACCGCCACCGCCGCCACCGCCGCCGCCACGACCCTTTCTCGCCGCGCCACCGCCGCCATTGCCAATGCCACCGCCACCAACCCCACCACTTTGGCTATTGCTGCGGCTGCGGCTGCGGCTGCGACTATTGTTGCTTTGACTCTGACTCTGACTATGATTATGACTATGACTACGGCTATGGCTATGGCTGTTGTTGCTGATGCTGTTCGTGTGTATTAGAAATGTGTTACTGTTAAAATTATTTGGTTGCTGATGATGACTGAGCTGCTGCTGCAGTTGCAGTTGCTGTTGTTGCGGATGAATTTGGTGGTGGTTGTTATTGTTGTTAAGTGCTTGGTGATTGTTGTGATGCTTGTTTGAGAGCAATGTGGCGCTAGCGCTTGCCGAGGTCGGTATGCTGCTGTAGCTCACGTACATTGGATGGACCACCGTGTGCTGGGGACTCTTGGCGTCGCCATTCACGAAATCGACTGTAAACCAGAGAATTATAATTGTTGTAGATTGGCTTGTTTGTTGTTGGCAATTTGCAGTGAATATTTTCTGTTTTTTTTTTTTTATTTTTTCCCTATTTTTTAGATTGACATTAAAAATATATTAATTTTAATATTTTTGTGATTTTCGTTTAATCAATTTGCGATACTTTTACTTCAAGTTCGCGCTTGGTTTAACAGAAAAAAAATTTAATTTAAATTATTTTCATTCATAAATCTCATTTGTGGGCTTGCACAATAAAATAAAGAAATTATAATTAAATAATTTTGATGATTTTTTTGTTTAGTTGAGTGATTAAAAATTTAGGTTTTTGGTTTGTTCCAAAAATGTTTGTGGATATGTGGCAATGTGTTATTGTATAGTCGATATAATGATGTCTTAAGATACTTTACATACACAAATACAAACATACATACATATATAGATACAAATAGATATGCATAAGGGAGATTCTGTAGATACAACACACGTACATACATAAATAATTATAATACACACATACAAACGATAAATTTGTGGTAGGATTTTGACATACATTTATATATATATATAGTATTGTGATTTTGATGCAAATGTTTTTATAATCGTATCAGAAATGTTTGCTTTAATGCAGTGATGCACACAGAACGAAAAAGCTTACAAAATAATGTTGATGATGATTTGACCTAATAAAAAAGTAGGAAAGTATGGTTAACTGTATTTTCTTGCGTCCAACGCAGCCTAGGCTATTAGGCCGAAGGATTTTTATTTAATTGGGCCTTTTCTAAAAATGTTTGTCCTAATTGTTAGAGGTGAGCTGTTCTTTAAAGGTGCCGCAAGTAGTCTGAGATTAATGGTTCTGGCACGATGTTCAATCAAGAAAGAATGGGGCTAATATAATGAAACTCTTCAGCAAATCTAATTGGCTTTTCCAAAAATAGTTCCTAACCGCCGAAATCTCCTTTTGCCAAATGCGGCAACACTATTTCCTTTCGCACATTTCAGCGTTTTTCGCAGAAAGCATAGAAGATGGGAGTTAGTCGTTAGTATAAGACCACTATAGGACACAAGTATGTACATTAGACTGCATCACTCCCCATACAAAAAAAAATAAAATAAAATAAATTGGTACTGCTTTTCATTGGAATTATAAAATCCATTACATTTTAAGACGCCCTGCAAAATATTTCGGAAAAATATCAATATTTATGTGAGCTGGACCAATTTAAATATATTTCCAAAAATGGAGTTTTTTATGAATAAAAATAGTTTCTTAAAGATTTTTTTTGAAAAAAATCCCGTCAAATGACAAAACGGTTGAAGCTTAAAAAATTTGCATAAAAATGTTAAAAAAAAAAATAAACAAATTTTCAACGGAATCGCAATGATGAGATTCTTTCTACTGAGACCCCATAAGTCTAAAACAGAGTAGTTTGGGCCCAGTTATTCAAGTCTTTCGTAAATCAATCTTTGAAAAAAAAAAGTAAAAAACAGCATCAAAAATCTCATTATTACAATTCCGTTGAAAAGATTTTTAAATATTTTTATGCAGATTTTTAAATTTAAACTGTTTTGTCATCTGAGGGGATTTTTTTCAAAAAGTTTTTGAAGAAACTATTTTTTTTTTTTATATATAAAAACTCCATTTATGGGGGTATTTTCAAATCGGTCCAGCTCACGTAAATCTTAATATTTTTGCGAAATATTTTGGTGGACGTCTTCAAATATAATAAATTTTTTAATTTCGGCGGAGAACCCGCAACTTTTTTTGGATGTCTGATATTCGTAAAATCGGGCTCAAAAGAGACATGCATCAAATGGATGCAAAAAAAATGTTGATAAAATATGTTTATGTTGCAGCAAATAAGGCAATAACAAATCATGGGTCTATGCATTTGAGCTCCAAAACTAAAAAGCAATCAACTTTTTTGAGGATAAGGAAAATTTAAGAAAGTGTCCTTTGGCTACTGTGCAACTGCTCGAGCCAAGTCGGGCGGTATTTAAAAATGGTACAGAATTACATATTTGTTTTTTTTTTTCAGAAATAATTTGTATTGTTCAGAAAAAGATATTAATCAGTTCTTGCCATGGAAAGCGCGAGCACTTATGCGCCAGAACAAACGACTGACTATTTGACTAGAGAAAACTTTTAATCTATGCGGCATTTGCCATAAAGGTTTGGCATTCCGCCATTATTATATTAAACAGTTTTCCCCTAAATAAGTACTATATGATTTTAGATTTTAGATTTGTGCCAGGCATGTCAAAATGACTGCGAAAGAGGATCAATTCGTACATATGTATGACTGCTTCGCTGACAAAGAATTTAAATAATTAATATATTTACCCAAACTTCGTCTAATAGTTGGAATATTGGAGATGGTGCTGACGGCTGGGTATTTGTGGAAGCGAAAAAATGCCCATCCGTTAGGATTGGCTATCATAGAACCCGGATAGCCATGAAATCGTCATGAAATAGCGTATCAGCAATTAAATAAGAAATTGCACAGCGAACAGACATCAAAAAATATCTTTATAAACAAAACTTATGTACCTAAGTATGCATTAGGGTGGTCCTTAAAAAATATCAAAATCATGTTCTTCCCACAAAATAAAGAAAACCACGAAAATTTCAATACTGAATTTTATGGATCACTACCTGGGTTTGAAAAATTACATTTTTGTATGACAAAAATTCGACATTATTTTGACTTTGACCAGCAATAGCTCACCGATTTTATGAATATATATGAATAAGTTTCAACACGCAGTTATTTCTGGTCAAGGGCAAGATTTTGTCGAATTGTTGTGGTAAAAAAAAAAAAAATTTTCAACCCCTGGTAGCGGCCGCTAAAATTTTTTTACAATTTTGAAATTTTCGTGAATGTCATTCTTTAAATGTTGACATTTAAGGACCACCCTACATATAATACAAAACATTTGCTTGGCATGTGCGTATAGCAGACATACAAACAATAATCTCGGAATGAATATTTATCTAAGCAACTCAGAGTGTATGCCCTAATTTTATTTTGTATCAGAATCAGTTTTCATTAAAATGACGAGTTTAAAAAGTAAACAAACGTAAGCGATGATAGACAGAGTGAATTGAGAAAATGTCAAACTTAAAATGGATTTCATTATTCTTAATGCAGATAAACGAAATGTAGCAACTCAGCATAGAAAACCGTACATGCAGAAAAGCATAAATTATGAACATACATATGCACATACATATTGACACATGTTTACAAGAATTTTATATATAAAAAAATAACTAACTAAGCTTAAAAGTTTCAGAGTGAATAATGGATTTGTTAGTAAATATGTGGTCGGAGGAGATTAGTGAAGCATGCATGTTATTTACGGTGACGAAAATGTGAATAAGGAAGAGCAATTTTAGCAAGCTTTGGATATTTTTTTGTTAAAAATTTTTTATAATTTTTTTTTTTTTTTAATATAGCTTACTGTCTAAAAAAAGCATGTAAATCAAAGCTTCAACCTTTGTAGAACATTTATAAAAATTTGACAAACGTTAACAAAAGTTCATCAAAATTTGAAATTTTTTTGACAGAATTTTACCGAGTATTTGACGAGAGAATTTTATATGCAAATGGACCGAAAATAAAAAATCATTTTCCACTTAAATTGCTGGGGAAACCGGCTGTATGAAATATAATTAAAAAGCTCAAAATTTTCATGACGGTTTCATGTCGAATTTTCCTAATTTTGGTACATTGTTTGCAACTTTAACTTGCAGGACAAACTTGCAATAACAAACACAAAAAAAAACGAAAAGGCAATAGCCAAAGAATATTAAAATGTATCTTCCCTATTATTATTCTCGCCACCGTACATATAGTACCTTTTCAGTAGCGCACATAAATAGCAAAATGGAAATGCAATAGTATGAAATAAGTAAATATTTTAAGCACAAAAAATGTATTTTCATAACTTTTAGAAATTCGTTATGCTACTTATTGTGAACTGTGAATTAAAGCTAGGAAGGTGTTGAAAAATTATGTACAAATGCTTATACGATATTAGATAGTTTTTTTTTATATACACAGCAAAGCATGCGGCATTTGATCTGAGCAGTATTTAAATATCCATTAAATTACTAATCATTTAATTACGCCTCCAATTCAATATGCAATACAACAAATACGCAGGTTCTTACTATCTGCTCAAACCAAAAGATTAATTCGATTATGTAGTTAATTATGTTCTTATGAGTGGGTGGGTGAGTAATGTTTGGTAGAAAACAATAAACATAAAAAACAAATGATTTTTAAAAGTGAAACCCACAAGCAGTTTTCTTGATAAAAAATTTTATAGTCATTTTTTATTAATTACATAAATATTAAAATTAATATATAGATAAACGAAGAAAATTACTATATTACTTTTTGTTGTGTGTGAATTTAGTTCTAAGAATATTACTATTTTTTTTTTTAAGATTTCAATTCTTTTTCATTTATTTATGGTTGCACCGTCGTATGCATTTGGTTACAGATTTCGACTTAATAAGCGTTTTATTTTCGATAGTTATTAGTTGACCCAGAAACGATGGAAAAAATACGTACGTATTTTTGATAAAATTTTTTATTATATAAGGCGAAAAGACGAATATTTTTTTATAAAATCTTTTTATTGATTTTATTCAAAACACTATAAGCAGGAAAATTATGTCTTTAATTTCCAATTTTATTTGAAGTCCCTTTGAATTCATCAAACAGTATTTCGTCTTAATTTTATAAGACTAGATATACACATTTTTACACAGAAAAATGGTGGCTGAGGATCATCGTAGCTGACCGGAAATTTAAGTCATGGATTTGGACGATAATTGGTTTTCAGCAGGATGGCAGGCCATGCCACACAACCCATGCCACAATCGATCTTTTGCGCACCAAGTTCGGTACTCGTATTACCAGTCGCATCGGCGATGTCAATTGGCCAGCTGGGAGCAGCGAATTGGCGTCGTTCGATTATTATT